TTTTTGAATTATTAAGCAATTGAGACCCATTGGAAGAAGATTCACTATTAAAAATGTTACCATGATTTTTTTTTCTTTGTCAATACCTAAACTAACAGAAGTTTGTGAGGTGGAAGAAGTTGAGGGTGTAGTTGATTACAAAAAAGAAGTCGCCTAAAAGTTCATCAATTAGAAAAAATAAAACTAAACGATTATTTTATTTGTTATTTACTGTATATTGATATTACATGTGTATAACAAATATTATATCGAAATGCAATTGATCTTTATAACACCAATCTGACTTCAAATTGATGTTAAAAAAGAATTAACACAAATTTGGATTCTATAAATCATTCTACCTGTAATATAGGCAGTAGAAGAAAGCCGTCATATTTCAGTTAAAGGAGAAATTGAATGATTTGTTAATAGTGTGGTGTCACGTTGCTAATTGTAGATAAAGTGGTTTTTTCTATTAATTTCATATTTTATTGATCAATTAAATAAATTAAATTTTATTATATAATAAAATAATCAATCTTGTCCATTTTATATGTATTTGCGCATTTGTAAAGAGCAACTTACTTGCTATTTTATTGGGAAAATGTGCCTTCAGAATCAGTTACATTCTCTAAGAAATAAATTCAATTTTGATTTTATAAATCTACCCGTTCCTTTTTTCTTGCCCTATTTAGACACTTTTTTTTTTGACTGCTGAAACTCTACCAAAATTCTGATAAACAATTAGTACCTTTCCAAAACTCTGCCAATTGATTTCTGGAGGAGTTTTGGTAAGCAAACATAATCACATAATGTCCATCACAATATTTACGATGATTAATGTGATGTATTTAATGTTATTATTCATAATAAATAATTGCATCACCCCAGTAATGATAATACCAAGACCATGCAGAAATGGACTTTATAATTTTGAAAAGATGAGAAAATTGGCAGAATTGAAAAATAATTCCTTGATATTTTTGTTGAATTTTAATCTGAAGTTCCTTTCCATCTAGGATAATGGTTTCATTGTTTTGTTATCAAAATTTTTAATTGTGTACGCTTCCCAATTGTATACAATTATAAGTCCTTAAATTATTTCCAAAAAAATAAATCTGATATTGATCATAGGTATACATTCTGCTAGATTAAATAATCTGAGAATGTATAAACCATAGGTGTCAGATTTAATAAAAGTTTCCTTTCACAAAATACAATCGCGGTACAATGTACTCCCCATACTATAGAGTGTTTCTACAGGTGGCGTGATTAAGCAGTTTGGGGGCTGACTTTAGACAAATGAAAGGCTTTAACAGCCTTTTTGACAATGATGCGATCTCAATAATCTCAGAGCCATACTGCCCCCCTCTGAAATTGGATGCGCCATCGTATAATCGGGGGATGAGGTCAAATTAGCCTTTTTGTGTTAAGGAATAAAGTAGAGAATAACTGTTATTTTGAACTTGAAATAATTTTTTGGTATTTCCAAATCGTCTAAAAGAAATTTTCCATGTGTGTGCGAGAAGAGAGGTATCTATGTTGCTTTTTTTATCCTTGACATAATGACGAATATAGAAAGTACTTGTTGTATCTTATATACTTACCCATCACTAAATAATATATTTATATTTAGGTTATTTTATATAATAATAATGTTAAATGTTAAAATCCAGTTATTAACAAATAGCATAACATACCAAACAACATTTCTAATAAAATTAAACTCGCGTTCCAAAAAATAAAAATGTGTTGAAATTTATTGGGTGTTTGAATACAAAATCTGATTGGCTGATTCACGTGCAAATTGACAGTGCAACGAGTCATGTCATTATGACGATATTATGACGGAATAAATACTATATATATATAATAATAATAATAAAATTTTTTTACCAATTTTTATAATCAATTTTCAAAAATTATTTTTAAAAAAAAAAGAGGAAAACAAACAATGATCAAGAAAAACAAGGAATGATGTATCTAAGGGTGCAGGAATATGAACACCCGAGGGTCACAACACTAATATGACATATGGCAAGTGCCGTATGCCATATGATTACCAAGTAAGGTTATCTTTACACAATTGATTTTATTATGTTTTTATATGTGAAGCAAAAATTTTTAAAAATCTGTTACGACAAAAATTTAATTAGTGGCATATGGAAAATCTTTCCAAGAGTTACGACATGGTTCCAATGTAGCCGTGTCGTAAAAGAACAAGAAAAACGAGAGATTTATTGAATGCCATTAAAAAGTTAAATATGTAAGTATTATTAAAACTGTTGTTTCGTTTAGTTCAAGCTCTAGTTATTATATATATATTATTTTTTTTAAAAAAAATTATAATACCATTTAAATATTTATGAACTAAATTTTATTTTTATATACTTAGAGGGATGAGAATGAGAATAAGAACGAGAATGAGGATGGGAATTTCCAAGAGTTACGACATGGTTCCAACATAGCCGTGTCGTAAACGTAACAGAAGAACGAGAAACTTATTAAACTCATTAAAAAAGTTAAATATGTAAGTATTATTAAAACTGTTGTTTCGTTTAGTTTAAGCTCTAGTTATTATATATATATTATTTTTTTAAAAAAAAAAACTATAATACCATTTAAATATTTACGAACTAAAATTTATTTTTATATACTTAGAGGGGATGAGAATTGGAATAAGAACAAGAATGAGGATGGGAATTTCCAAGAGTTACGACATGGTTCCAACATAGCCGTGTCGTAAACGATCCCGTAAAGCAAGGGATGAGTCTTCATCCATAAAAAAATTGAATGTGTAAGTATTATTAAAACTGTTGTTTCGTTTAGTTCAAGCTCTAGTTATTATATATACATATTATTTTTTAAAAAAAAAAACTATAATACCATTTAAATATTTATGAACTAAATTTTATTTTTATATACACGTACTTAGAGGAGAAGTTGAAGAAAATAAGAACGAAAATGAGGATGGGAATGAGAATGGGGCAGAAGAAAAGAAGAAGATGAGTTTTTAATAAATTCAATCATCCCTACAGATCCCACAGCATAATAATAAAATAGCAAAAAATAATTAATGAATTAATTAATAAATTAAAATAACATTCTAACTTGGACAATTTGTGATTGATGTATTCAAAATATTGTGAGGTCGCGTCAGTTATAAATACATGATTTTAACTTTTCTGTAATTTCATTTTAATTCTAGATTTCACAATCTGTTTCCCTTTCTTTCCAAGATATCGCTTACTCCATACCAATTCTTTGCTGTATAAAGCAGTTCAATAAATTCATTCTTCAAGTAATCAGTAACAAACATGTGACTAACCTCTTTCATTTAATATTTTTATATTCGTATTTATATTTTTATTGCTTATTATTTATTTCCTATATATATTTACTAATAATTAGTGGAATAAAAAATAAATCTGTACCATAATTCCATAATTAATATTTATTGATAATACATTGTCTATAAAATAAGTCTATGGGAGAAATTTTTCATATTATTTGACATGAAAAATTATTTTCTCTTCAAAGGGTCTCTATTCAACCAAAGCAAACAGGTGAAATTGAATTTTATCTTGTTCTTTTCACTCCTTCCGCTTGTGACAGCATCCATTGTCAATGAAGAATATAAGTTGTGTAACTAGAGGTTGGAATCGACTAAAATAGTCTACTAAACTTTTTTTGAACAACTAATAGTCGATCAATTATCTAGTCTACTAATACTACTAATAATACTAATACCATTCTAATATTATTATTGTCTGACCAATTAGGATTTTTGTGTTTTATCATTCGAAATGGAAATACCATCAATATGATGATGACAACAATAGCAGCGGTGTTGTTGATAATTTTACATGTGAATGAATAAACAATTCCAATAGTTCATTGGCTTCAAGTTCCAATGATTTAAGTGGTGGTTCCAGAAGACCTTTAAAAAAACGAATCGTAACACATGGTTTTGTGTGAAAGTATTTGAAAAAGTGAAAGATTCAAATGGAATGAATTTGTAATTTGCAAATTAAAAAAAAAAACGAAATATTATTATTATAAAAAAAAAATTTAGTCGACTAAAGAAATTTTTGACCAACTAGTAGTCGACTAAGGATTTTTTGGACAATTCCAACCTCTAGATGTGTATGATGTAATGCTTAACACATTCTTTCCGGTCTTTTTTATCATCTTGTTCAATATTTCAGGGAAAACTGGACGCATCAAAAATGTTCTGTTGCCATTACCGGATGACATATTGTCACTTGGGTGATTCCGCTGGTGATTTCTTTGGCCAATGATGATTTGTTGACTATAAAGATATTTTCATTTGTAAACATGGGTTTGCATTTAGTAACCGTGATAATTAAGCATAAAAAAGTCAAAAAAGTTTTTGAAAATAGATCTGATTATTTTTATTATTATTATTATATTCTTGATATTTCTCCCAGCTACAGTCAAAACTAATTTTCCTATATGATTTTTCTCATTTCGAGTTCTGGAGTGTTATTATTACAACTAGATATCTTTTTGATCTGATTGATATATATAGTATTTCCTTACATTATTTGGGATATTGTCAGCTACAGCCAGTGTTGGCAATTGGACTTATTGGACTGGACTTATTGGACCAGTCCAAGCAGTCCAGTTCAATAAGTCCAGTCCAATAAATCTATTGGACTCTGGACCAATTCTAAGGGGTAGCCAATCATATCTCAGCATTTAAATTAACGGCAAATAAAAATTTTTTATTTATTAACAATATTTTTTAAAAATTATAATAAAGAAAATTATATATTTTATAATTCTTGATAAAAAGAAGGATCATCTAAATTATATTCAAAGATTTCTTCTATTTCCCATTTTCCTTTCTGTCTATTAATAGCTGGGTGTCTAGTCCTTTTGATTCTTTCAATTGACCCTATTGGACCTACTAATTCATTTAATTCTTCCTCTTCTTCCTCTTCTAATACTTCATCATTCAGCATTTCCATCACTGCATTCCATTGAACCTCATTTTCAATGTCTCCTATAAAAGATTCATTGCTTATTTCACTTTCTTGTATTTCTGATTCTTCAACTGGAGCAGCATAATTTTCAGAATGGAATTTTTTTCGTGATTCATCAATCTCTGTCTTTTTTCTTCTATAATTCATGTCATTCCTTATTTGACCCATTGATAACACCTTGTTATGCTAAATAAATATTAATAAAATTAGTGAGTAACAAACAATAACAATATATAATATTCAATTGAGTTACTTACATCAAGTCTATTTCTTCTGTCTGAATGTAGATGTCCCATATTAGAAAACAAGCGTTCAACTGCAGCAGTTGTCACTGTTATTGAAAATACTCTTGTTGCAACTTTATGAAGTTCTTTATTAGCACCACCACTCATATAACTCCAATATTTTAGTGGGTCATCATTAAATTGTTCTGCTGTATCAGGATCATAGGGATCTTTTCCTTTTGCAAAATCTTCCAATTCATTAAGAATATTATTGGGTCTTTCATCAAACCAAACAACATAATAATATATGATCCATTTTCCCAAATTAGGAAGAGTTAATTTTTCATTGTTGGAATTGAATTTTGTCATTTTGTATTGTGGGTTTAATAAGAAAGATATTAATAATAAAGGCTGTTCCTACGAAAACCACCGATTTTGCAATCGTATCAACATCTGATTTTTAAATTCTTCCAATGGAATTTCTTGTATCATTTGAACAATTTTACCAAAACTGTATAATACATGATCTAAGCATGCTTTATCCCTCTGTAATTTATTTAGAGCTGCACAAAATGGATGTAGTAATCTTACAAGTTCTCTTAGATCACACC